TCCTCCTCTGGTTCCTTCTCCTCCTTCATCGTTTGTGGTGCTGGGGACCGACCCCAGGGGTGCTTTGCCACTGAGCCACACCCCCAGCCTTTTTAACTTTATTTTAATTTTGCAGACAGGGTCTCACTCAGTCAGGAGGCTGGCCTTGAAGTTGGGATTCTCCTACCTTGGCCTCCGAGTCACTGGGGTGACAGGCGTGCACCACCAAGCCGGCTGCTTTGTTTATTTTCACAAACTTGTTACACTATTTGGCCATAAATGGTGGAATCTCTACCCTGTAAGTATAGTCCCCGCCTCCACAATGTCGGGGACAAAGTCTTTTTGAGTTGCACCCGAGCAGCTGTCACAGAGCCGAGCCCTTAAAGCACACCCCTCTGGGTGGCGTGTGGGATTCCAGGGTGAAGGCAGCCTCACCTTCCAGACGTGGCCCCCTGCGTGGGTGGTAAGTGCCTGGCCTGACGCTGCGGGGACCCCCGGGCTTCCCAGACGGAGCTTAATCAATGACCCCGAAGCAGAGAGGGGGAAGGGGAGAGCAGAGATTGGTACGTGGAGGGCCGCAGACGGAGAGGGTCAAACTGTCCGAATCAGACAATGGGGGGGGGGTGTCGGAACGCAGGCTCCCGGCGGTGCACACAGGGAAGTGAGGCCGCAGGCACCTAAGTTGTTACACACGCGCGTGCGCACACACACCTGGGATTAGGTGAGTTCAGGGTGGCCATCGACATCTGGGGAGTGGCTGTGTGGGACGGAGATGGAGGTTCTAAAGGGTCGGCTGCCAGTGCATCTGAGCAGGGGGCAGAGGAACCTGGAGCCAGGCGCAGGTGGGCGGTGCGTGGGCAGCTACCTTGGGGAGTAGGGGCCCAGGTGAGCCGCTGCAGGTAGGACCACAGGGAACAGAGAGGGACCGCAGACACCAGGCTGGTCAGGTAGGCAGGCTCGCGGGCTGGCGGGGAGCCCGGAGGATGGGCCACTTCCCAGGCTTCTCCTGGGGGTCCAGGTGGGGAGTCCGTGGGGTTGGTGGCAGCCTGGGGGGAGGGGACGGAGTCCTCCTGGGAGCACACCTCCTTCCAGGCACAGGAGCCCAGGAGGGAGACCTTCCTGCTGGCCACTGGCTGCCATCGCGAGGGCCTATGGGGAAGGGAGGCGAGGGAGGGGCCCAGCAGGGCTGAGTGGTCCCTCCTTTCCAATAATCCAGGCCCATCCTAGCGGAGCTGGTGTCCTGTGGCTCCTAGAACAGTTTACAGAGTCCAGGCAACCGTGACACCAAGGACTCTGGCTGGGCTGTCCCTAGAGCAGGCCACAGAGGGCACAGGGCTCCCCGTCCACTGACTGACCGGGGGGCTGGGCTGCGGGCACCTCGGGGGCTGTCCCAGAGGCCACTGAGTCAGCACACACAGCTGGACG